TCAGTCACCATTCTGGCTGAACTGTTTTTCTTCTCTCTCTGAGCTCCAGTCTCTCCATTCACCTTGCATCTTCCCTTCATTTTCTCCCTCACACTGTCTCCCTCTGTTTAATCTCTAGCCCATGGCTCATGAGTGGATGGAGCAGGTGCTTGTACTAAATAGTGAAAGGCTCTATTCTCTGTGGGTTTTTTCCCCCAATTTTATTTTAAAGACTCACTCAGCAAAACTAGCCAGAGAGGAAAGGTATAAATGAATTTAAATCTGAAGGAGAAGAGTGTCCTTGTAAGGGTAATATCCTTAAAGGCCTCTTTCACTTAAAATGGATGAACTTGTGCTCTGATGTTTGTTCGTCATTGTCTACAATGAGCTATTTCGTCCAATAAAACTGACGAGGACTGTAACTAAAAGGGTAAAATGATGATAAAACATGGGAGCGGGTGCAGGAGCATCAGTAGCTACAGAAGTTTAAAACAGTTGCAACACTTATGAGGTAGCTGAAGCTCTATGGCCAATAATGACAGATAAAGATGATAAGATGAAATTTAAACGTCTTTTTGGGCATTAGCTTTACCCATATAGAAAATATATATATAAATCTTATAACGTTTGTATCTGTCTTGTGTGAAACTTGTATGAAAAGCATACAAGAGTGAAAACAGATATAAGATTGCTTGAAGAATCATATAAATGAAACTTGTATGTTCATGAGAAAATCATATAAGCCTTATATGATTCACTATATGAAGGAGGGCACATCAGATGCAAGTTTTTTCTATTTCTTTTCCATATGGGTAGAATGACCACAGTACGTGCACAGGGGTAAGAAGGCTGATAGGAGTGTGGATTTAGCATTGGTTCAATGATTTGTACCCTCTCCAAATACTATAGATAAACAGGAGAAGACTTTTCACGCTGTAACAGTTACACTAGAAATAGATGGATTTTCATTCAGCAAAGCAACTTTGGATGATTTTAATAAAATCATTCAGCAAAGACAAACTGCAAAGAAGGTCTGTGATGAATGACTGAGAATATCTTCACATATATGTAACAGATTGGTTTGAGTACTCTCCTTAATATGATGACCGCTGAAACCGAATCCAACTTAAAAAACACTACAATGATTATAAGACGATTTAAAATTTTGAAAAATGTAACATTATATTTGTATCACATCTGTGTACTCTGTGTTCAATGGAGACTTATGTCAGATTTATCTGATAAATAAGTTACCATGTCTTCATTGAAAGGTTTGAGTTTAACACTAGAAACATATGAATGTGTTTTGTGATAGCTTCTTTGGTGCTATCATGTAAATGTGTAAAACCACAAATATACTGGATCACATTTTGTCTTTAATAATTAACACCACAAGATCAGATTATGATAAATAAAACTTAAAAAAAGTAAAACCTCAAAATCGAAGAGTAAAAACAATAATTTGTGTAATTCGTTTTTTCTATTTGGTGAAATTCAGGCCGTTTCTTGCACCTAATGCACATTGGAAACATTGGAATTAATATTGCATATATTACGCTATATGAGGTTTTCAATCCTTATAAAGGTGCAGTTACTCTGAGGACCAAAAAACAGACCTAAGGAGTACCTTTGACGAGATCTAGATGTACTGACACACTTTCCCTGAATCCCTCTGAGAATGCGCTGCAGCTGCCATACATACATATGTGAAAGACTCACATAACGATATTTGCATGCATAGCTTATAATATTCAAACACAGACATTTCGTCTTACTCACTTTATATCTTTTCAGTGTTCAATATTTGGGCTGAAATCTATGACTGATGACTGATCTATATTTTTATTTTATCGTTACAGTTGTCGGCAGTAAAGAATTTAAATCCAAGTTTTCCAACTTGAGTGTGATAAAGAGTTATAGCTAATGTTAAGATGTCCTGTTATTAGACATCGTAAGTACTATGGTTAAATGTAAAAAAAAAAAAAAAAAGGGCAACACTGGTAAATGCGCAATTTTTGCAGTAGAGACATGTAAATAAATATCATGCAGAACTGCCAACAGGACCATCTTACTTAATATACTTTTCTTTGTATTTTTTGCATTGAGATCATGGCAGAAACATTTTTTGCCTTCGCAGCAAGTATATTTATTGTTTACATTGTTTACATATTCAGATGCAAAAAAGAGATTAAACTGAGACTCTAACAAATTCCTCAATGTGAGAATGTGTCGCCCTCTGCTGGAGTATAAATAGGTTTCAGTGAATTTTCAGCCATACATATCACACAAGCGCCTCTAAACTCTAATAAATTATGATATCATAATTAGAAAGTGTTGCCCCCTTTCTGATTCCACTCAAAGTATCAAGAAATTGTTTTTTCTTCTTCCTTTTAATTTTTAAAATTCTTTGTGCAACAGCTTACAATCATTCAGCCACACACCCTGCTCAGTGGCCTTTCCCACTGTTTGGGGAACAGGGTCATAAAAGAAAGCAGCGTAGCTGCCTCAGAGAAGGAAGTTGACAGATTTTTATTTGTTTATTTATTTTAGCTTTTAAGTCTTTGAGCTTTCTGTGAGGTGTTTTGAACTCCAGTTTCTCCCATAGTCCGAAGACATATACCTCAATTGGAAATACAAAACAGGTACCTTAGAAAAGCATAAAATGATCTTTAGAGTTGTTTCACTGAATTTGTGATTTCTAATTAAATGTGATAATCAATACACCCATCCATCCACCCATTAGCTTCCGCTTCTCCTTTTCAGGGTCGTGGGGGGCACTGGACCCTATCCCAGCTGGCATAGGGCGAGAGGCGGGGTACACCCTGGACAGGTCGCCAGTCTGTCGCAGGGGCCAACACACAGAGACAGACAACCATTCGCACTCACATTCACTCCCGCATTCACACCTATGGGCAATTTAGATTAATCAATTAACCTATACCCACAAACTGCGTGTCAATACCTTACTGGAAAATTGACACAAATTTGGGTTCTAAGATGATGAAGATTTTAAGGGGAGTGACAAAAAAAGGAAATGCAATGTACAGGAGACAGACTATCAAAATAAGACAGGTAGAAACCTAACTCAGAAATACCTACGACAGTCACAAAGATTTGATAGCAAACATGCTAAGAAGGCCAGACTAATTAAAACCAGAACACGAGTGAACTCCAAACAGAATAATGAATCTAACAGAACTCAGAATGTGAGAGTCATTATTGAAACAATAACCAAAGTCGACTATAGTCATTGAGACTTGGACCTAGGTAGTGTATGCTTTGAGGACACACACACTGGGTTGAAGTTGAGGGTAACCCTGAACATGTTCTGGGACATTATTCAGACCCTTGTTCTAAAGTAATTGGGGTTATTTTTGTGTCCACTAATATCCCAAAGATGCTTTTTGTCATTATTTTGGGTTTAAGGAGTCACCTTTTAGATAGATTTGATTTTAATTTCTTACTTGCTATACAATTAGGGTGCAATGTCATGATGCCAGCTTTGATTGTCAGCTGCTGCTACTGAGAAACTTGTGCATCTCTGTTCATGAACTGCAGATAGAGTCATGCATAATTTTTCCACTGAAGGCTTTTTCAGCACTGGCTTATTATACATATTTTTTTAATTTATTTTTTATTGAGCGTTTGTTACAAATATTCAGATTAAAAAGCAATTTGAATTATTCTTAGTGACATATTGTTCACAAAGAAACATCAACAACTTCAAGGTAAAATATTATAATGGACAATCGGTTAGGATGTAAAGCTTTGTGTTTTTCTAAAAAACAAACAAACAAAAAAACAACAACAAATGAACAAACAAAACGCCACACTCGTCTTAAATCAGTATTTTCCAGGTTTTGAAATGTCTTTGAAATGCAGTTTTAGTGCTGTCCTTTGTCCCACACCGCTCTGCCACCTCGCTGTAAATCCTAAGCTGCCGTGTTAAGGAATAGAAAAAGCCAGTTTTATTTCAAAATTGTCCCAAATGTCTCCGTCACTGAAAATTGTGGGTTTAACTTTAAAACTGAACATCAAATGTCATTTTAAACCAACGAAAGTCTTTAGAGAAGAACTAGAGTTAATCTCAGGCAAAAAACAAACGCTATCAGCTCACACTTACACCACATGTGCTGAATAAGTTAGGTCAGTGATTCTCTGCAGCTCCGTAAACAGTTCCTGTGAATGATATGAGGTATAAACACACCTGCAACAAGCGATAAGATTGCTTTACCTTGAACCAACGTGCTTGTTCCCAAAGGAAGCAGCAGATGGGTTTAGCTTTCTCTGAGGTTAGTGCCACCATTTAAAAAGTAAAATTGTCCATAAACCAGTTTACCTATGAATGGTCAAATTAACCAGTGGCTGCTTTTTGCATTTACCTGTTATCCCTGTAATATTCATTTATGTCCTGTTTGTCATTCAGATGAATTATTTGCTAACAGACCAGGCAGCTTAAATGCTGCTTAATGTTTCTTTAAGTCAAAGGGGGAAAAGGTGTTATTGTCAGATATAGATTTTACTGTATTTGTCTGTGTCGGAAAACATTTCATTTCATTTTTCTGGGTTTTTTTTTGTACCTTTCATAGTTTTATTTTGATAGTTTTTAGTGCCATTATGTTATACTGATCAGGAAACATGTGAAGTTTCACAGGAGAGAAAACCTATATGCAGAAAATGGTCTAAAGAAAAAAAGCTGAACCTTTAATGGTTTATAAAAATAACAGAGATACAAATGGTCTAAAGTACTAGAAAAAAAAAGAACCGGAATCCAGGCAAGATACAAAAGTCATGACAGAGCCAACAGTGACATGAAGTGACAGCTGAAAAGGGGAGAAGTGAGGCCATATCCACACAGACTGATCAGACCAGTAAAAACCAATGAAACAAGTGAAACAAATATGAACGGGCTAGACGGTCACAAAGGAAGGAAAGTAACTAGAGTCACAAAGAAAGCAATGACAAAATAAAATGTCATGATTTAAACAATCACTCTTAAAGATAAAACACACACACAGAGGTGCTTTATTGGAGGTTTATTGAATTATTTTAAAATGTTTATTTTGTTGATCAAGTGACTGTTCAATGATGATGATGATATTTTTCAAAGAAGAGTTGGATTGTTTGCATCATGCTGCTCATCTGTCTGATAGAGAAACATTAAGATTTATTATGAGAAATTCACTCCATTTTCAACAATGCAGTGTGGGGAATAGTATACGATGAACTTAGGATAATAACCTGAGATTGTTCAGCATCCATACAGCCTGTTGAGCCTGAGGATGTCCATCTGACTCATCTCAGTGGCATATCCAAACTCCACATTGGAATTAGGGATAGCCACCAAAGTGGGCTGGTTGTTCTTGGAGAAGGCGTACCTGAAAATACAGGGTGTGTTTTTTCCCCAAGGGAAGTTACTGAAAGCTATTACGCCTACTGTACAATAAGTATTTGCCAAATTGACTATGAAATTTTACCAAGCCAGAATAAACCATAAAATATCAAATAGAGAGTACAAAAATATTTAAGAAATACACAATTTCGAAGAAAAAAGCAAGAGAGAACAATACGAAAAATTCTGATTCACATTCACTCAGTTTTCATTGCACTTTAACACCTGTTTGAACATCTTTCATAATTTCCAACATGATGACGGCAGCCACAGCTGTAACACGGAGCTGCTGGTATTGATACCTACTTGTGGTAATGCATAACAGAGCCATAGTCATAGGGGGTTCCCTGGTTCAAAGTGTTGATTTTGTCAAAGTTGTGCTCCATTCCTAGAGACAGAAATACCATGAGCTCCATTATTCATTCTTTTTCTTGTTTCTGTGGCTTTAGTCCACTCTACATTTCTATGAGTGTTCAGATAGTTCGGCATTTTATGATGTATTGCATTTTTGCTTTCTTATAACGCACTATGAAGGTTTGTGTGCTCGTCGATTCCAATACTGGTTTTTGCTCACGTGAAATAAGTGGGTTATAGTGGGTTAATGATGATCAACAGACATATTGGTATTGTGAATTTGCTTCTTGTCCGTCGACATTGTTTGTGCAAAGCTAAGCAAAGTCTGAAGTACAGAATAGCTGTGACAGCTGTAGCTGTCTTTGCATTCAACCTTTGGTTAAAAAAAAAAAGCCAATCAGCACATTTTTCAAAATGCCCAAGTAATCCTATATTTTGTGCCAGTAATTATTTTCTTTCTGTATTCTATTTATATTGCTGTCATGGATAGTGAAAAGTGAAAACAGACAAACCCGGAGTGATGTTCTCCCACAAAACGCGGATGTGTTCGTCGCGGTCAGAACGTGTCTGCTCGTGATTGAAACCCAGAGCGTGGAGCACCTCGTGCTGGACAGTGTCGTAGTAAACACAGCCTGATTGCTGCAGGGACAGTTCCTGCGCATAGTAAAGACGGCCGATGTAGGAGTAGCATCTACAAAGGTACAAAATAAATCTTGTTACAAAAGCTGCAAAAATATCTTCTTTTTTTTTTTTCAAATCTGTAACTGCACAAACTTTTTTGAAATATGTTTCATGTTAACACAACAGGGAATAGTTAACCAATCCTGCAAGTATTAAATATGTTGCTAAAACCTGTTCTATGTGAGATTTCTTTGCTTTGTTTTTTCACCATCCAGTGCAACTACCATTTCTGGAGTTCTACCAACTCCAGAAATGTGGTGCTTCATTAATTCATACACAGAAAAGTGTGGTTGCACAGCCATTTTTAAACAATAGGAAACATTTTGTATGGATGGAAACGGAACTTTGGGGGACTGCAGTAAACTTTGCCATTATGAATATTTTCTTTTTTTACTCGTTCTGATTGGTTGAGAAAGTGAAAAAACTTTGGCCTGGATTAATCGAACAAAAGTCTCCGCTGCATGATTTAGTAGTTACATTTAGTGTTTATACACCTACTGTCTGAAACCCTTAACTAATCCTTAAACGAATAAAAAATAGTGACGTTAGTGAACATATTAAAATTAAATACAGGTTTTCTTGGACAGATTGGGCAAAGAAAGAACGTGCTTTGCTCATGTTTACCCATTAAGACTCTGGATATTCAAGTAGTCTCTCTCGTTTGTGCGTCTGATTAAACGGATACAAGAAAAAGAATCGAAGGACTGCAGAGCACGCTCGATGACTGCCACCTCACGAGAGGCTGGAAAAATGGAAAACACATTTTAATCCACCACTAGACCAACAGGATCCTGTGATATTTTGCAGGAAAAATGTCTGCAGTGCAACACACCATGTTCCTGGTGATAAGTGCAGAGAATAGCATTCATAGATGAGTTTACTCCTTACTGTACACGCTGGAAAGGGTGTAGGGCACGTAGACATGTCCATCAGCGGACTTGGGCCACATGCAGCCAGAAGCGGTGCAGGGGTCAGCGTTTCTCTCCGCCTCCGAGCCGTATGCAATATCATCCACTATGTAGGGTTCATCAGGAGAACGGACTGCAGCAAACACATTGATCAGTTCAATTGTCTGATTCACTCTTACATCATTCTCCCTTTTTACTGAGATCTAAAATATTTGTGATAGTCCAAAATATCCGAGTACCACAAAAGACACTGAGATTCTGAGAAAAGGCCAGGGAGGAGAAAAGAGGGTTAAACTTTTTTATGGCTTTGAAAATTCTCACCAATATCTCTGTTGGCTCTCTCAATTCGCTCTGAAGTTGACAGAACCTTAGCATCCTGCACAAAAAGGAATGAAGAAGTGCTGTTGGCATACTGATGATCTACCAGCAAGGATCATAGAAGTAAATAATTATTTGATAAACGTTTTTATAATTTATTTTTAAAAAGAATATTTTACAATTAAAGGATGGATTCACTGTCAGTAAATTTGTCAGATGCAAGCAATTATTCCTCCTCTTCATACTGGCCAAACGATGTGATCTTAATGAGCTCTTAATGGAAGTGACTGAAAACCACAGTTGTCAGTTGTGATACATTGTATTGTGATACATGTGACTCTAATATATTGCATCACCAGTCTTAAAAATATAGCAAACATGTTCCAAAATTAGCTTTTTGTGCAAAACAAAGTCAGGAAAGCACTTCAGAGGAGAAGCATATCAAGTGGGAATCTGCAATATTGTCTGAAAGTAGAAAACTAAAGAACAATGGTAAACTTACAGATTCCAGAATTTTCCAGGAGTTATTGACAGACAAAAGGGAGAGAGAAAGAGAGAAAAATGACATTTGTTCCACATTTATTCCACCAAATCAGTCAAGATGTGCTAGAAAAGGAGACTTCCTTACCTCACTTTCAGCCCAGACAGAGATTGCCAAAAGGGCCACAAGGCCTAGAACACACCTAACCCCAACCATGTCAACAAAATATCTGCAATAATGATACAAAACATATTTACCCAGTTATTCCAGTTCTTCAAAATTCAGCTTAGACGAGGATTCTTAAAGCAGAACAAAGGAGAATTTATTGGTGATACTTACAGCGATCCCTGAAGTGACAGAAACGCATCATAATGCAATGTGGTTGAACATCACTTTATAAAGCCAACTGCACCGGAACAAAAAAGTCCTTTTATGGACATTTTGGAGGAGAAGAGGGGAGTGAAAAGCCCAAGATAAATACATGTCACCTTGATGCCATGTTGCATATCCCCACGATCCCTTGATAAGAGCAGTTCATCATAAACTTGTACAAAGATTGTTTCTTAACCAGTCTTGTGTCGCCTTTCTTCTTTTCAGTCAGTTAACACAGCTGAAATGAAATCATTGTAGATATGTGGGATTTATTGGGAATAGCCACAAAATTTTGAACATGAGCAGAAATCTTGCACATCGGAACTATGAAAGTCCAGGGATGCACACTTAGGTAGCCAATGTCCCCAAACACAAGTTGGAAAATTATTCTGATATCAGACAAATTCATCATCATCATCATCACTTTACATTCTGACTCTCACATCTGTATCCAACATCTGTATCCATGCAAACTCAAAAGAGGAAAGAAGAGTAATGTCATGATTTGCTGGCGAGAGAACCCAAATGCACGAGACAAACCACAGCAGCTTTATTGGGGTGATAGAAAACCTAAAGCAGCATCATACAGAATCTCTGAGAATTTCTTTGCATTGTACTCCAGACACTTTCTCAAAGAGAGTGTGAACAAATTGTTTCTGAAAATCTTCAGGAGGATGCCCAAATCTGCGACTTTACATGCCCCTCACAGTGCTCAAATAAAATAAAATAAACAAAATACCTGGAAATGCAACAGATCATTTCACCAAAACTTGCATAGTCTGTATTATAAAATCAAGGTTACTGCAAGACTGCAATAGCAACATAAGTAATAGATTGTGATGCACCATTTTCATTTCAACTGGATGGTTTTTAGAGAAAAACACCTTTTTTTCTTTTTTTTCTTTATTTTTATAAATTTCTTCTGGAACCTGCGAGTACAGACAACAACTTAAAAAATAATTCTGAATTTTTAAAATGTACAAGACATTTATATGACCTGAGATGTCAGTTTCATCTTTAATTTATTTTTCCTGGAGTGGAAAAGGTGTCTAAAATTTAACAAATGAAGCAGATTTGTAATGGAAAAAAAATAGTAATTGTTATAAAAACATTTCACCCATTTTTTAAAAGCATTTTTCTTTATACATTTTTGGAGCAGTATTTGTGTATAGACTGGAACACATTTGTGAGTAGTCAAAATTATTAAAAGTCTTTAATATACATTTTTCAACCTCTTGAGACAAACTTCTCTCCATAGTGAACCATCTGGAATGGCATTTCCAGATGTTACAGACATTTCCACAAATTACATGCTTTAAGCGGCAGCTAATTTTAACATGTGTCTAACAGCTCAACAAATATCTGCAAGCAAACAGTTTTTGTTCAGTGTGTCACAAAATGTGTGTGCTACCTAGAGTTTCAGCTGCTTGATTTCCCAGGGAGGGTACAAAAACACTCATCGGTGACAGAACTGATCAGTGATATTTTAAGGGGAAATGTAAAAATGAAATATATAGTTAGGTCCATGTATATATTTGAATACTGACACAAGTTGGTTTTTTTTAACCCATTTACTTAAACATATTCCAATTATAGTTACATAGTGGACATGGGCATAATGTGTAGACTATCAGCTTTCATTTGAGGGTGGCACATTCAAATTGGATGAATGTGCCACCCTCTTTTTAAAGAAACCTAAAGTAATTGGACTATTAACTCAAAGGCTATTTCATGGGCAGGTGTTGGTAATTCCTTCATTGTGTGATTATCAGTTAAGTAGATAAAAGGCTTGGAGTTGGCCTGAGGTGTGGTGCTTGCATCTGAGTGATTGTGCTGTGAAGACAACATGCAGTTAAATGATCTCTAAATGCAAGTGAAACAAGCCATCCTTAAGCTGTGAAAACAGAAAAAAAAACATCAGAGAAATTGCTACAATATCAGGAGTGGCAAAATGTACAGTTTGGTACATCACGAGAAAGAAAGAAAGCATTGGAGAACCCAGCAACACACAAACGAAACCCTGGACCTACACAGAAGATGGCAGTGGTGGATGATTGCAAAAGAAGAGTATTGTGTAAGTGGAGATTGGACTAGATTGGACTTTGGTGAAAATCAAAGAATGGAAAAACATTCTTTGTAGAGATGAAAGCAAGATCAACCTCTACCAGAATGACAGCAAGAGTATGGAGAAGGTGCAGAACAGCTCATGATCCAAAGCAAACCACATCATCTGTAAAACACGGCACTGTGATGGCTTGAGCGTCCACAGCTGCCAGTGGCACTGGGATGCTTGTTATTATTGATGATGTGACACAAGACAGAAGCAGCTGAAGGAATTCTGAGGCATTCAGAGACCTATTATCTGCTCAAACTGAGCTGAATGAAGTTAAATAATTGTGCCGTGTTTCATAACAAAGATGGACAATGACCCAAAACATACAGGCAAAACAACCCAGGAGTTTATTAAAGCAAAGACAGTGTCACTGTTGCTTCACAGCAAGAAGGTTCTGGGTTCATATCTCACCTGTGGCTGCTCTGTGTTGAGTTTGCATGTTTGCCGTGCAAGTAGCCCTTAAATCAATTCAATAGTCAGATTTGGGGTTTAAAAAGTCAAACTTGCTTCTACAAGATTAATTTTTCCTTTTTTTTTAAGTTTCTTCAGATGATTGTATATTTTGTGCTTGTTGGGTCAAAAAAAGGTAACTGCTTCTGGGAGAGGATGATGATTTATGTAAATTTGCTCAAAAGCTCTCTTCCATTTCACCCAGCTCATGTTTGAAAATTCACTGCAGGACGCTCTTTACACTGTAAGTTGTCATTTTAATGTCATTTATACAACGTCTGCCATTTAACAACTTTATTTTTTATCAGCAGATTTCAGAAAGAAATTCTTAGTTCATGAACCGCTGGCATAGTACATAAAAAGTAAAGATTCTGTGAACGGGTCAATGAAGATTTATTTTTAATTCAATGTGTTAAATTGTACAAAAGAGTGACAAAACAGTCTTGGAAACAACTGCTCTGATGTCTGAACGGCACCACATTTCCAGGACTGCTATTAGCACCTATGAAGACAAAAGAAAGAAAGTGTGAAACTAAGGTTTAATATGTGTTGCCCAACACACAAGTTATATTTAGCAGCATTAGCTGCTAAAAAACACCTTTTTATGACACCTTTGTGATGCTTTATAATGTGAATGTGTGTGAATAAATTGCAAGTTATTTAAATGTCACCATCTTGCAACAGTGATAAAAAGCTTACGATGGTTTCCTTCCTTCATGTTCAAAGCACACTGCCTTCTGGTGCTAGTCAGGTAGCATAATTAAAGAGTTAAAAAGTCGGTAGTTGAAATATAAATGGCTGTTGCAACTTTTTCCCCCCATTATTTTTATCCATCACCTAAATGCAGTTTATATTACTGTAACCATAGTGATGAAGCTCCTCCACCTCAAAGTACAGATTTATACAGAAACCCTGATCTTTCATCAAGATTTGTGCATAAATGTAACCAAATCATTGCCTTAGCATTGCATTACAATGAAAATCTCAGTTATTCATTTATTTAATTTAAATTATAACATGTTGCACATCCAAAACTCATGTTGCATTTCTTACTGTTTAACACTTGTACAGCCTGTTCAGTCTGGTGATGTCATTCTGGCTCATCTGAGTTCCTGTGCCAAATTCAACATTGGGATTGGGAATGGGCTCCATGGTGGGCTTGTTGTTGCCAGAGAAGGCATACCTGGAATGATGTACAGCGGGTTTGTTTGTATTCAAGAAAAAATGAGAAACTATTGCTTTATAATTGAAATGGTCTCTTTGGCTCTCATTGGAAAAACAAAAAGAAAAGAGCAAGTAAAAGTTTGTCAGTTGGCTCTCATTAAGAGGATGACGTCTTCATATTTTCTATATTCAGAATCACTACGTGCTGGTAAGAGGTGCTTACATTTGTTTCAGCGTGCAGAAAAACCCTTGATTAATTTTGCATAAACAACAAAAAAGAAAGTTATCAAAAAACAATAATAGTAAAAAAAATCCTGAACTAAAACTTAAAACTGAATGAACAGATGATGAAAGTGATCCAGACCTGTGGTACTGCATGACTGAGTTGTAGTCATAGGGGGTGTTCTGGTTCAATGTGTTGATCTTGTCAAAGGCATATGCCCAACCTGAGAGAGAGAAAGTGTCATGTGCATCAGAAAAGGCTGATGAGAGTTAATGTTTGCATTTAGAGCCTCAAACTCTGTTTGCTCTATAGTTAAAAGGTTAGTTTTATAATTTTACACATTTGAGTTTATAATATATTTAATGACTTTATTGTCACTTGCCTCACTTTATAATTTAAAGTATGACATTTAAGTTATTTCTTATCGAATTTTGTAAAATCACTTCGATCCCTAGTTGAGTGCATCCTGTCCTGCTGTGTTGCTGTTCATTATGGAAGATAATTTTAAAGCTAAACTGGAACCCGAAACACACCAACAGCCCAAAGAGACCAGAGAGTGCCACCAAAAACAGAAATCAGACCGGATGCGATGTTCTCCCACAGGATTCGGATGTGCTGGTCCCTGTCAGAGCGACACTGCTCATGGTTGAAACCGAGGGCGTGGAGCAGCTCGTGCTGGACGGTGTTATGGTAGAGACAACCCTGACGGTCCAGAGACACTGCCTGGCCGTAACCAAGGCGACCGACATAGGAGTAACACCTGCATTCACACAATAAGAAAAAAGAAAGGAAAAAAAAGAAAAATGTATTGTTATCATCCCTTACAAAGCAAAGCAAATTATCTAAACGAAACTATAATAAGGTTCTACAAACAAAATGTTTTCTTTTAACTAATAAAAGACTATCACAGTCATTTAAAATGATCAAATATAATGGCTATGTCTGTCAAGTAAATTATTATTTATTAATTAATGTAATTATGACTCTAATTGTGATTAAAAGTCATACCAAAGAAGATTTTAAATTCTTGCTGAAATTGGAAACTGAAATTAACTCTGATATTTAACTGTGTAGAATAAAACACATGACTAGGAAGCACAGAGGGTGGG